CCCAAATCATAGAGTGAATTAAGTTCATAAACCGAGGCACCACTGTATTTATATGGTTCAGATGAGCAGTTTTTAAAAGGCAAGACCTACATTTCTTAGGCAGCAAATACACAGAATTTTCCAGTCATTATTGACCAAAAGTAGGGGATATGTGAAAGAGCCATGGAAAAAAGAAAGAAAAGAGAGACAGAGACTGACAGAGTCAGAGACAGAGAGATAGAGAGACTGACATTGGGACGAGGGTTTCCAGTTCGAGGCCAAATGACTCAAGGTCTTAGCGCTCCACACTGACGTAGAGTTCCTCACACTTCGAAGTTGTCTTAATGGGAGTGCAATTCAGTGGCTTTAAAACAATATTGAAAGAAGTGGAGTGGAATCGAACAGAATGGGAAACAGCCAATGTCACTCACAGTGAGGAGAAACACTGTTGGTGGCACGCTGGTTTTGCTGAACACAGCAAGCCAAGTGCTAGGGGTGACCGTTGGGTGTCTTGGAACTGAGGCCATGGGCAGAGTAGGCTTCAGCACTCCCATTAGTAACCCCGCACTCTTCTGCTTTTGCTTCAGTGGGCTGCAGTCTCTAGGGGAATGATGCAGAGAATGTATGCATGAAAAGATTAAGATTATTTGGATTACTGAAGTGTGTGCTGAAAGAAGTAAGACCATACGTCAGCTCTGTGTGTGTGTGTGTGTGTGTGTGTGTGTGTGCAAGTGCAAGGACATCCCATCTTTTCTTAGCAGGGTACCTGGACCCCCATGCAACAAGGGCGCTGCACCCACAGGGGAAGAGAAGGTTCTAGGTAAGGAGAGAGAAATGCAAATCCCTAAACCCTAGGGAGCAGGAGGAGGCAGAGTGTATTTAGAGCTAGACAGGTGTCACATCCTGCAGGGGTGGTGGAATTCTCCAAGACAAAAATATTAACCTCACAGAGACCTTGGTGTTTCGGTACAGGCAGGCAAGTGGGGTGAAGAGTATAGATGGCCCCCTCACTTTTATTTTTATCTCCGTGTGCACCGTGAGGAGAGTGAGCAAATGAGGGAACACATGAAGGGGCCCGGCCTGCCTGCACCCCGAAGCAGGACAAGATCCCCAATAGGCTCCTCTGCTCCCAAAAACATTTAGCATGGAACATCCAAAGGATGGGGGACGGCCAGTAGACAAAGTGTTTTCAGGTACAGTTCAGATTCTGGAGGACAGGTAGGTGACCTTGAACCAGAGGAGTGGAGGAACTTGTTTGGGAGAACAGGGAAGGAACAAGAGGAAATCGTGCTATTTCATGAATTCCAGAAAACAGTGCTCAGCAAAAAAAAAAAAAAAAAAAAAGTATTTACCCAGTGATATTTGCAGACTATTATTTGCTTAATCAAATGTTTCTTCTTCAGAGGAAAAAGGGGTATCTGCTATTTATTTGGATGTGTTGTAACTGTGAGAGATGTTGTGCACTGTCTTGCCTTCTTCCTACGTAATAATCCTTACAAGTAAAGTTTATCATTTTTTGAAAAATGCCCTGGAAAACATAATACAGCCATTCATGACTCCAGTCCGAGGTGATCGTTAAGACTCTGCCCATCAGTTATGCACTCAGCAACACTTGCTGTTCCTGCACATCCTGACATGAATAGGCCATCGGCGGAGATACACACAGAATCCCTGTACATTTCCCCTGAAGAGATAACTGAAGGCCCCCCTTCTCACTTACATTGGCGCTTTAAAAAAAAAGAAAGAACCATTTTTATTTTACTAAATTAGATTTTCGAGAGATGCATTACTTCCAGGCATTTAGCTTAGTGGTGCTGTGCCTGCCTTGCAAGCACAAGGTCCCAAGTTCAATCCCCGGTATGCGGGGTGGGGGGAAAGGGAGAGAGAGAGAGAGAGAGAGAGAGAGAGAGAGAGAGAGAGAGAGAGAGAGAGAGAAATACATACATTACTAAAGAAGGCCACAGCTGAGTGTAGTTGTGCACACTTGCAATCCAAGCACCCTGGGAGGCTGAGGCAGGAGGACTGTTAATTTAAGCACAGCCAGGGCAAAATAGTGAAACCCTGTCTCAAAATAATTAACAAGAATTATAATAAATAATGGTTGGAGATATAGATCAGTGTGAAGGCCCTGGGTTCAATCCCCAGTAATGCCCCGGTAATTCAAATATATGTATAGTTTAGTTTTGTTTTGTTAGTCTAAAATTCCTTTAGAGGGATCCAGCTGAAAAGCACAGGCCCATTTTCCAGGAGTAAACATTTCCTACCCGCAGCGAGTAGCGTTTAAAACACGTTCCTGTTTCTTTTTTTGTTTTTTTAAGTTATATTTATCTTTAAGTGTATCTTAGAAAGCAAAAGTGAAAAGAAAAAAGCGTGCCAGGTACTCGATGAGTTCTCTTCTTATCCCCCCCCCAAGAGGTCCGTGACCCCAAACGCGAGGGGCGCCTCTTCTGTTTAGAAGGTCTCTAGCTGCTCTGGGGGGACCGGATCTGCTCCGGGGTCTCACCGGTACCTGCCGGTGTCCTCCGTCCTGGCTCTGCAGGGTGCTGTCTCGAAGATACAGTAGATATTTCGCTCATTCTCAGCCCGCCTTTTTTCAGCTTTATCTTTTCCCAACACCTGGCCATCTTTCTCTGAACAGAAATCCCGTATCTTACTTGAACGAGTAGATCTCTCACTTCTATTTTGTCTGAGAGCTGACCTCTCACTGCCGTCCACTCCGCTCCTCCTTTCTGAAGCTGACGGGATTCCGTCTCCACAGCCTCGCCGCGCATGGCTGCGAAATCAGCCACGAGCCTCAGCTGCGCCCCTGCAGCGCTTGGAGACTGGCGGTGCCCTCGGACTTGGCACCGCCGTTTCCGAGGGTCGCCGTGGGTTCGAGCTTTTCAAGGCCCCTTCTCTCTCTGGAGCGTGGATTTGTCACACGTGCTGGGGCGCAGATTCGCTGCCGGCTCCGCCCCTCCCCCGTGGTCCCACAGCGGGGAAGAGTGAAGAGGATTCCACACGCTGCCTGGGCTTTATGTCTCCAGCTTCAGATCGCCCCACGAGAAAGGCTACAAAATTTTTCCTTCCCTGTGGCTCTAAATAAAATAAAATGAAATCCCAGAATTACGAAGATTTAAGTTGGCTTGAATGCTAGAAACATTTGCAAAAGCGTTTTTATTTAGGATGAATATGGGAAGGGGATGAAATACGGCCATGCTAACTTCTTTTTTGTTTGTTTTTGTTTTTGCAAATGAGTCTGTGAAAAACTGGTACCGTTTTATGTTAAAGTCACCCAAGAAAAAATGCAGAAGTGAAGAAGAAATGTGGTGCTGTCTGCGGAGAGGGCATCAGGCGAGAAGGGGCCTGGGGCGACCCCACCGGCGGCCAGCAGCTCGGTCTGCTCGTGCGCCCAGGCGCTGGGCGGGTGGAGGAGACGGGGCTGACCACAGACCTGAGATGGGCAGCGGCGGCTTCGTTTTGCGAACCCCGGAATAGCCCGGGACAGGTAACGGGACCAAGAAGACAAAGGAAAGCAGCGGCGGAGCCAGATACACCGGGTAGGGGCCGCCGCCGCCCAGCCCAGCCCAGCCCACCTTTGTTCCGCCCCGCGCGGATCCGAAAGATGCGGACTGCAGACCCGAATGCACCTTCTCTCAGCTTTGCTTTCTGTTGTCGAGCTAAAATAGCGAGTGACCCAGAAGGCTAGCGAAGCTCGCAATTGCAAGACTTCAGGAGGAGGCTGCTGCAGAGGGCGTTGGTGACCCAGGAAGGGGGAAGGGACAAAGAGGAAGAGAAGACTGGGAAGGAGAAAGGGACCCGGGGAGGGGCGAGGGGAGGAGAGCGCGGAGCCGGGAAGAGCGAGCCCCGCGGGTAGGCGCCGAGTGGGGGCGGGGAGCGAAGGCCCGGTCCCGAAACCCGGTCTGTCCAGATCCGAGGCAAGGGTTCAGCACCAACCGAACCCCCAGACCGTTACTCGGGGAGGGGCGCGGGGCGGGGGGCACCGCCCAACCTAAGCGCACGACGACGTCTCCAAACGCGAGCGCTGAGAGGGCAAACAAACTGAGGAAAGGGACAAAATAAAACCAGAAAATAAAAAATAAATTAAAAACGCAAACGGGGGAAGGGAGCCTACGGCCTGTCCAGCTTTGCAAATGGATTTCTTTGCCTGCCTTAGGAAAAAGAGAGAAAGGGACACGGAGAAAAGCGCCCACGTGCCCGTAAAAGGTGGCTGTGTTAAAGCGCCACCTTCCGCCGGCCAGGGGCGCAGCGGACTGGACGCGCGGGGAACAACCGTACCCCCGGGAGCAACCGAGCCCAACCGGGCCTGCCGGGTACCGCGCACCCTTGATTTCCGGGAGCCCAGGATCCGGGTCTTGCGCGGGTCCGAATGTGCGCCCTTGGAGAGGGGAGCAGGGGGCCCCTAGCGGGCAGCACCGAGTCCCCGGGACACAAAGGGGCTCTAGGCCTCCCCGGGGATCTGGTCCTTTTGTTGGCACCGGTACCAGCCTGGTTCTCCCGGGACCCGGTGCTGTGCGCCGCTCTGGAGCATCCCGAGGAGAGGTGCATCTGTGCGCACACGCGGATTTTTTAAAAATAACACATTTCTAGACATTGCCTCCTCCCACCCCCCCTCCCCGCCCCCATCTTTGCAAGAGCGCGGGGGGGAGAGCGGAGGAGGGGCCTCTGGGTTAATAAAGAGAGGTGGGCGGAGCCGACGGCGCGCCATTGGCTGGATGCGGGAGTGACGTCACCCATATGACACCCTGATAACGAGTTGAGAGAGAGCCCGCAACTTTTTGCAGAAGCAGCGCGCGCGCCTGGAAGTACCCTGGTCCGGCACTTGGAGCCACGAGCCGGAGAGGGAAAAAGAGACAGAGAGGGGTCCCGGGTTTGTCTCCACCGCCCCTCCGCTGTCGTCG